TGAGGTCAGCTTCTGAAATCTTTGAAGTTGCACCACTACTTCCTCAAGGTGTGTGTGTCAGTATACCCTACTGCCTCATAAATATCTAAATTTCCTGTTTCTGAGCCAAAATGTAAGCCAACATTTCCCTTTCAACTGTTCACCTTGGTTAGGTTAGATACAACGCAGATTTACATGATGACAGCAAGTTGCATGTGGGTTATTTTCAGTGCTCCCTGTGTAGGCCAGGCTCCAATGGGCATCTTTATAATAAGACCATGAGAAACAGGAACAGGAGGAGGCCATTCAGCCCTTCAAGCCTGTTCCACCATTTCGTACGATAACAGCCGATTCCTCTGCAAAATAAAACCAAGAACTGCAAATGCTGGCGACCAGAAAGAGAAAACAGAAATTGCTGGAAAAGCTCAGCAGGTCTGGTAACATCTGTGGAAAGAAATCAGAATCAACGTTTCAGGTCCAGTGACCCTTCTTCAGAACTGATGGTAGCTTGGAAAGGGTTGGTATATATGCTAAAGATAGAGTGGGGGAGGGAGCAGGAATAAAGGATAGGTGGAAATGGAGCCCAGGTAAGGAGAGAATAACAGTTGGAAAAAGCAATGGGTAAAGGTCAGGCTGTGGGAATGAATAGGTGCTAGTGGGGACAATTAGTGGCTGACAATGGATTGTGTGTGGTAGTAGACCATGTGATGACAAGTCCTGGTGTGTGGGTGTTGCAGTAAGGACATGGGAGAAAGTGCTTGAGCCCTAATATTGTTGGACTTGATATTGGGTCCTGAAGGCTGCAGAGTTCCAAAATGGAAAATGAGGCGCTGTTCTTCCAGCTTGTGCTGAGCTTTGCTGGAGAACAGTGGCAAGGCTGAGACACAGATGTTGGCTATGGAACAGGGTGGTGTGTTAAAGTGGCAGGCAATAGGAAGCTCAGGGTCTTTTTGCGAGCAGAACGTAGATGTTCTGTGAAGCAGTTACCCAGTCTGTACTTTTTTCCCCAACGTAGAGGAGACCACATTGTGAGCAGCAAATGCAGTAGACTAGATTGTGGGAAGTGCAGGTAAAGTGTTGCTTCATCTGGAAGGTATGTTTGGAGCCTTGGATACTGGGGAGGGAGGAAGTAAATGGGCAGGTGTTATACCTTCACCGGTTACAGGGGAAAGTGCCGTGGGGCTGTGGGGGTGAAGGAAGAGTGGACCAGGGTGTCCCAGAGGCAACGGTCCCTGTGGGAGGCTGACAAGGGAGGGGAGGGGAATATATGTCTGGTGGCGGCATCTCACTGGAGGTGGTTGCTATAGATCCTTTGGATGTGGATGCTGGTCAGAAGGTAGGTGAGGACGAGGGGGACCCTAATATTTTTGAGGGAAGGAAGAGAGGTGGGTGAGGGCAGAGTGCAGGAGATGGGTCAGACACAGCTGAGGGTCCTGTCAACCACAGTTGCGTTTCTCTCTATTTAAATAAAACTCTGTTCTTTTGTTCTCTCTTCCAAAATGAACAACTTCACATTTTTCCCCCCATTACACTTCATTTGTGAACTTTTTGCCCATTTCATGGATCATAGAATCCCTACAGTGTGGAAACAGGCCCTTTGGCCTAACAAGCCCACACTGGGCCTCAGAGCATCCCACCCAGACCCACCCCACTATAACCCATCTAATATACACCTCCCTGAACACTACGGGCAATTTAGCACGGCCAATCCACCTAGCCTGCACATCTTTGGACTGTGGGAGGAAACCGGAGCACCCAAAGGAAACCCACACAGACGCAGGGAGAACATGCAAACTCCACACAGACAGTCGCCTGAGGGTGGAATCGAACCCAGGTCCCTGGCGCTGCGAGGCAGCAGTGCTAACCACTGAGCCACCATGCCACCCTAAAATTTACTGAACCTGTCACTATCTCTCTGTAATTTGTTTGCATCCCTCTCTCAACCAGCCTTTTATCCTATTTTTGTGTTGTCTGCAAAATTGACTACAATACGTTCACTTCCTTCCTCCAAGTCATTACTATATATTGTAAACAGTTGCTGCCCCAGCACAGATTCCTGTGGAACCCCACTGGTCATGGATTGCCAACCTGAAAAAGAACTACTTATCCCCACTTGCTGTATTCTGCCCATGAACCAATTCTCTATTCAATTTGAAGGGACTGTGTACTGTTACAACTCAGTTGGGATAGATGGACTGATTCCTTTCACTGTCCCACTCCTACAGTGGCCAAACACAATTTGATGTCAAAAAGGAAGTGATATTGCAATTAGATGTATGTATATGTATATCAGATTATGTGTAGCTCAGTCGCAGAAGCAAGCAAGCCAGGCGCATTAAATTAGAAATAAAAACTAGTTTAATATTAAAAATAAAGTACTTTAGCAAATATGCTATGAATATTTACAAAAGGTTTCAAATGTACAAATGAATCTAAATACGATTCTTGAAAAATAATTCACATCGATACACACACAACCTCTTCCACACTTTAAAACATACTTAAGACTGTGTTGAGTGTTACTACAGAATTACTTTGCTCAAGTAACAGGTAAATTTGGAATAATAGGCTTATTCACTGATTGTCCAAATGCTTGTCTGTAGTTGAAATCACTTTCCGTACAATCTACTGGCACTAGATCCATTATGGCTGGTTGATATCTCTTTTTCTGCAGACAGTTGATGTAGGTTCTGAATTCTCCTTTAAGAACTCTCCACTTGTGATGATAGTGGACTTTCTACTCTCAAACTTTGTTGAAAGGAGTTTCAGATGAAGGGAGGGGGATAATGGCTGGTTTCCCACGCAACAGGTTCTCTCTAAGTCTATGTTCAAAGTTTATTTTACACCTACTAACTGGATCATGCGGCATCTAACTGAAAGTGTTGTAGATTCACCAACTCCCAGCAAGGAGCTTGTGTTCTTTCGAAATCTCACTTTATTGTAGCTGTCACCAGTGTCCTTGTCTTTGAAAAGTGTTCTTCGCAAAAATTCAGTCTATGTATGTATCTGTTGTTCTGGACCAGATCAAACCCCTCACACATAACAAGGAGATAGTCTAGACCCTAACTTTTATCTTTATTTAAATGCAGGTATAAGGTGCTGTGCTCCAGATATGATTCAAATGGTCAAACTACTAGGCTTTAAGCAAATAATAATTTATTCTTACGCCACAGTCAAAATATAAACAAAAAAAAGAAGAATTGGAATAACTTTAACTCTATTAAAATTCTTAATAAACTAACATATTATTTTACTACTCATCAACTGTTCCACTGTAGCAGCATCCCATAAACACACCCTTGGCAAAGGCAAATTCAGCAAAATAGATTTTCCTCACTTGCTATCTCCTCCATTCCAGGAGAAGGAATGACAGAATGAAGCTAGCAGCACAGAGCGGGAGCTATACCTAGCAGCTTCAACCCTAAAATGCCCAAATGCAACAATTGAAAACAAAACTAAAACCCTGGGTCTGTGTGAGCCTGACTTCACCCACTCATGCTTTCTTTGACTACTTTAAAAAAAACCCCAAAAAACATTTATTCTGCTTTCCATGGAGCAGACACCTCGGCACCAGGTTTACAACACCCCCATCAAGAGAAACTGGACTGAACAAATCCCTTTTCATGGCGCATAGAATAGAAACAGAATCCCTACAGTGTGGAAACAGGTCATTTGGCCCAACAAGTCCACACCACCCCTCTGAAGAGCATCCCACCCATTCCCCTACCCCTGATGTCCCATATCTAACCCACACATTCCTGGGCACAATGGGCAATTTAGTATGGCCAATCCACCTACCCTACACATCTTTGCACTGTGTGAGGAAACTGGAGCAAACCCATGCAGACACAGAGAGAATGTGCAAACTCCACACAGACAGGCACCCGAGGGTGGAATCAAACCTGGGTCCCTGGCACTGTGAGGCAGCAGTGTTAACCACTGAGCCACCGTGCCACCTCATCAGATTTTGTCACACCAGCCAGTTATAGTACAAACTAAGTTTTGAGACAACACATCTTCATAACAGTATCAACACTGCATTTCAAAAATTAAGAAAAAAACGCTGTAATACTTCAGCATAGAATATTAAGGATTACCTAATTGAAGTATTCAAGTGGATTAATCGATTTGATAAAGTAAATGCAGAGAAACCATTCCTATGCTGTCTGGAATCTCGAACAAGAGATTATAAATTTACAGTACCAGTAGAATCATTCAGAGTTGATTTAGTTGGAAGTAGTTTTCCAGGGGCAGTGGAAATTTGCAACTTAGCTCTTGTCGCTGGCGTTGTGGCTAAAAATGTTGGAAATATGCACGCAGTAAAAATCCCATAATTGGTACTATCATAATGAATCTGTTCTGGTTCGCTGACTATGGGTGGGGGGGGTGGGGGGGGGGTGGGCGGGGGAATGCTGGTGAAGGAATTGGGGAGAATTCCCCAGCTCTTCTTGGAAATCATCTTTTACATCCACCCCAGGGGACAAGTGAGGCCTTGGTTTATTGTTCTATTGGAGAGACAGCACATCTGACAGTGTAGCACTCCATCAGCACGGCACTGTGACTATCCCCTCACAACACAGCCTCTGTTTTCAAAAATACCCTGTTACCAGCACGTAACAGGTACACAATGAACATTTCACTTTTCCTCAGTTATGATGTTCTGGCCATTTTAGCTACCCCATGCTCTCTATATCTCCCTGTGCCTCAGTGCAGTCTGTGCCTGTTAGTTTCCTCCTGTGGTTCGTTTGACCTTCGAATAATGAGCTTGTTTACAGTGTGGCCCAGGGCTAGGAACTTGTGTAAATGGCTGTGAATATTGGTAGGAGGCTGAATGTGAGGGTCTCGATGGTGCGGACAATGAAGTTTGGGATTTGAGGGATGGGGCATGAGGTGAGGATCCTGGGTGGTCCTGGCAGAGGGTGATGGTTGACTGCTCGCACCGAAGGGTCTGTTTCTATGCTGTATGCCTCTATAAATTATATCAAACCAGCCTCCTTCTGTGTCTTGCCCTCTTACCTCAGTAGAAAGCAGGACTGACCAGCCGTGATGGACGAGCAGAAGACTCCCACCCCCAGAGCTAGTAAGGGGGTGGGCCCCCGAGAGGGCAGGAGGACAGCGAGACGGCGGAGGGAGTTACGGAACACCCAGGATTCACAGCAACTGGAGCAAGAGGCCAGCTGGAGCTCTGGGGAACGCTTCATGGTGGAGAAAGTCCATGAGTTCTTCCAGGAGTGCGGTGGGGCTGAGAGGGGCTACATCACTTGCGATGATATGGAGGTGAGAGGAACTCAGATCGGTACATCTCCCTGAGTGCTGACGCCCAGCTCATTGAGCCTACAGCAGCCTGGGCCTGTTTATCAGACCCAGGACAGGCTGTAGCGACTGAGACCTGGGCAATTCCAAATCTAATAAACACCTCCATTAACATGGTGACATATGGTGGATTGTATCAGTGCGTGGGCCAATGATAAAAGGATCCCTGTCTCCTGATTCACGCACCTTTACTGATCAGTTTCGTCATCCCACGTGTTCAAAGTGGCTAACACTGCCACAACGGCTCATGTCTCCTCTTATGGAGGTCGGGGGGGTAGGGGTCTGGAGTTGAGGTGAGGGGTATAGATGTGAGAGGGGCGGCGATATGGGAGGGGAGTTGAGGGGTTAGAGGTGAGAGGGCTGGGGTTGGGGGAGAGGAGGTGACGGGTGTAGGGGATGAGGGAGGGGGAATGTGAGGCGAAGGTGGGTAGGTGAGGATTGAGGGGGTACCGGGGAAGTGGCGCTTGCATGTTTTGAGCACGCAGAGAGACAGTAACATGGCCTTCCACCTCAATGGAGGTAACTCATTGTGGACAGGCTGCATCTTCCTGCACACTGGGGACGTGAATAAACCTTTGTGGGTATGTCTGTGAATTTTACTTCTTTCTCTTGATTTTCTTTCCTCAGAAGCTGCAGGACAAGTTTGATTTCAGTCCTGAGGAGTTAGAGATGGTGTTCAATAAACTGGATGTTGATCAGAGTGGCCACCTCACTCCCGAGAAGCTGACTAAGGGCCTAAGTAAGTTCACAATGTTGCCTCTGGGTGAATAGTCATTCAGTAACACTGGGACGACAGACAGCCCCAGGCAGCAGTGGGTGTGATTCTGAGTTATCAGCTCTGTAGTCACACCAGTGAGTGAGGTCAGTTAAACACTGACTCATGTTATAAAGGAACTGTAATATCATTGACAGGAGACCTTTTGGGAGCTCTCAGTGCAGCTTGGGTTCTGACCCCATTGTAGAGCGGTGAATTCACACTGTGTGGAAACAACTCTAACTTCTTACTCACCACAACGCCAGCTTGTTCACAAATAAACTCTAGGAGTGGGATTTCGCTGTTTATCACATCCCACACTGAGCAAGGTTCATTTGGGCCTTTCTCTCCTCATGTCATTAACATTCAAAACATTTTTAGGTGTTAATATTTTGAATAGAAGTCAAATTGATCAACTTTGAGTTTAAAAAATAGTCAAACGGCCATTCAGCCAATCTACAAATCCCTGCTATGCTGTTATTGTACAAAGTCATTTATCTGTTTGAAGTTTCTGGTTAAAGTTGGTCCCAGCACAAACCATCCCATCATGCACAGGGCACGGCCTAGCTGCCCCACCCAGACCACATCTCACCTCCCCCCACCAACACCCAAAACCCCACCAAAACTCTATGAGGGCCATTACACCCTCATCCAGGGGCGGGGGCGGGGGCGGGGGAGGGGAGTGAAAGTGAAATAAGGGAAACATGAGTGGGATGGTGAGTGTACGACTGGGGGTGAGGGGGAGCCAGGGTGTGAGTGAGGGAGGGGTCAGTATTAGGAGAGGGCAAGGGGGGCAGTGAGTGGGAGAGGGAACTGTGAGTGGAGGAGGGAGAGGGGGAGGGGAAGTGAGTGGAAAGGAGCAGAGAGTGGAGGGGGGGTCAGTGAGTGGAAGAGGGGGCAGTGG